TGTGGCTCAAGTGGCTACGGTGCCAGCCATATACACCTAAGGTGGGGGGTTTGATTCCAGCCTGGGCCCGCCAAAAACAACAATGATGGCTGCAACCAAAAAATAGCCGGTTGTTGTGGCGGGTGCCTGTGATCCCAGCTACTTGGGAGGCTGAGGCAGGAAACTCGCTTGAGCCCAGGAGTTGGAGGTTGCTGTGAGCTGTGATGCCATGGCACTCTACCCAGGGGGAAAGCTTGAGGCTCTGTCTCAAAAAAAAACTCTACTATCTGCTGGGATTAAAATATTTTATTTATTTATTTATTTATTTATTTATTTTAGAAAGAGTCTCATTCTGTTGCCCCAGGCTAGAGGACATGGTGTCATAACTCACAGCAACCTCAAACTCCTGGGCTCAAGCAACCCTCTTGCCTCACTCTCCCAAGTAGCTGGGATTACAGGTGTGCACCACATGTCTGGTTAATTTTTCTATTTTTAGTAGAGACAGGGGTCTCACTCTTGCTCAGGCTACTCTCTTGAACTCCTGAGCTCAGGCGATCCACCGGCCTCAGCCTCCCAGAGTCCTAGGATTACAGGTATGAGCCATCCCATCCACCCCACTGGGATTAAAATCTTGTTGGTCATTCACACTATAGGTTGAGCATCCCTAATGTGAAAATCTGAGATTTTAAACTTTTGAGCACCAACATGATGGCTCCAGTCAAAAATTCCACACCTGACTTTATGTGATAGGACACAGTCAAAACTTAGTTTCATGTGCACAGTTATTTAAAACATTGTATAAAATTACCTTCAGGATATGTTTATAAGATGTGCACAAAACATAAATGAATTTTGTTTTTAAATTCGAGTCTCCTCCCCAATAATATCTCATTATGCAAATATTACAAAATCTGGGAAAAATTCAAAATCTGAAACACTTGTAGTTCCAAGCATTTCAAATAAGGGACACTTCACCTGTATAACACATAGTTACTCTCTGGAAAGCAGAGTTTGAAAGAGAAACAGAGGCTCGGCCCCTGTAGCACAGTGGTTACAGCGCCGTCCACATGCACCGAGGCTGGCGGGTTTGAACTCAGTCCGGGCCAGCTAAACAACAATTGCAACAAAAAAATAGCTAGGCATTATGGTGGGCACCTGTAGTCCAGGCTCCTTGGAAGGCTGAGGCAAGAGAATAGGTTAAGCCCAAGAGTTTGAGGTTGCTGTGAGCTGTGATGCCAGGGCACTCTACCAAGGGTGACACAGTGAGACACTGTCTCAATTAAAAAAACAAAAAACAAAAAAAGAAAGATAGAGAAACAGAATAAGAAAGAAGAAGGGTGTCAGCAGCACAAGCAGCAGGACTTAGCAGAGAGGGAGGGCAGCCATAGGCTCTCAGGCTCACCTTGGTCAGGTACAAAGGGAAATTTCCACCATAGTTCTCTGGGACTTCCACAAGCAGCTCTGCAATCTGGGCCTCAGGGAGCACCTGCGGAAGGATTCTGCCCCTTCATCAAGCTCTAGGACCTCACAGAAGAGGGGAATTTCTGTCCCTTTCTTTGACCTGGCCATATCCCACCCACCCTCTAGCCTTTGACCTTCTGATTCCACAACAGGCCGGTAGCCCCAGCTCTGGACACCCCACCCCAAGACCAGCACTGTTCCTATGGTCAGTAAAATTGGTCCAGGTAGATTCAGGGGCAAGTGTGCCAACTCCCAAGGCCAGAAGCTGAAAGAGGGGCATGGGGTCCTGCTTACCTGGGGGATGGAGAAGCAAAGGAGCCATAGCCAGGCAGGGACCATGGTCAGTACAGGCCTGGGGGATGTGGGAGTGAGGTTGCCACCCAGATCAGAGGGTAGGGACTCCATCCCCTACATATAGCCAGAGCTGTCCCACCAGACACTAGATTTCACTCCCTCCCCTGTGAAAGGCCTGTGGCTCCCCATCACCCAGAGGGTAGCATGAAGCTCTGCTGCCAGCCTCACGGAAACCCCCACCCTCCCTCTTGGCTCTTGCCCCTGTAAGGATTCCGCTAGAGTTTTACCTCCAGACCTTTTCTTCTTCCTGTCACAACCTACCCAGCTCACAGATTCCAAAGTGGTAATTTTCCTAGCAGCCCCCCAAATCACAAAAGCTTGAAGCTAGAAAGACCCTGATGACTGTGAGGTTCACTTCCTGTAGTCACTTCGTGTTGCAGGCAAGACCTGAAGGGCAGAACCTGGCCAAGGTCACAGAGGACTTGACCACAGGATTCTTCCAGGAACAGTCTCTGGGACTTTCCTGCTTCCCACTGCCCCCCTCCAGATAAGAAATGCCTGCAAGGCAGAAGCCCTGATCTCATCTCCACATTTTCTGGCACTCAGCATGGAGCTGGGCACACAGGACCTTGACAAACTGACAACTACTTTAAGATGGATCCCTGGGAACTCTTCCCCAGATGGGGAGAACAGGGCTGTGTTTCTCCTCCATCCCCGCCAACCCCAGCCTCAGACCTGCCTACCCCGCTGCTCCCAGGCCCTCACCCGCTGGTGCCAAGGCTGGCTCCCTTGGTCCAGCCACCAGGCAAGAGGGCTCCTTCTCCAAGGATCTCTGGCCAGGCCGGGCAGGGTGGGGTAGGGCAAGGCGGACGCTTGAGCTGGTAGGTGGTTCAGCCTCACTTGTTCAGAAGTGGAAAACACCACTGGGTCCACAGTTGCAGGCCTGGCTCCACCCAGCCCCCCAAGTTACTCATTGACTTTGGAAAGCTGGGTGCTGCTCAGCCTCCGTGACTGCCAGCCCAGGGAGCTGGGCAAATCATTGGCTTGGTGCTCTCTCCACCTCAATACAGCCAAGTGGGTAGTCCTTGGCCCTCTGGGCTTGGACACTACTTCTGTTTCTGTGGCTCCAGACTTGGTCCCACTCCTCCCTAACGTTCCAGCGTCTGCAGCTGCACCTCTACTGGCTCTGTTCCTTTTACGTGGCATACTCTTCCCACCCCTTCATCTGTGCGGTGAGTACCTGCTCATGCTTCAGTTCTCAGCTCACATATTCCTCCCTCTAGGAAACTTTACCTATCTGGTATTCACCATCTGGAAGGCCCCCCATGCCATGTGCTGCCTCTATAAATGCACAGAGGACACCAGATTACCACTGCCTATCTTCCATTAGACTGGGAACCCCTCCAAAGCAAGACTCAGCAATGACCTGGCTCTTGCCTTGCCCTAGCAGCTCCTAACTGGCTTGGGGAATTAAGACAAGGAGTCAGAGGTTGCAAAAGATGGATCATGACCTGGACCCGGTATTTGGGGCGCTAGTTCACCCAACAGTGGGACCAGTAAAGAGGTGGTTAGCATCCTGGGAGCTCCCCTGTGTTCTCTAAGCCCTCCTACTAGCCACTTAGCACCAACAGGGCTGGGACAATGGTCTGTCTTCTGCCCCTGAGAGGCAAAGACAAGATTAAACCAGCTCAGGTGACCTTGAGGAAATGGTGGGACTGACCATGAGCCCTTCCCCCAGTGAGGCAGCCAAGCAGAGCCAGGAGAAGCTTCTGGGGCCTGGGAGAAGGGGAGGAGGAGAGAGAGTGGGAAGGGTGGGAAGATCCTGGTCTCTAGGACTTTCTATCCTTGAAGCTGCCCATGTTCTCCCCGAGGTCTTCCCCACTGTGTATCTGGTGAGTCTCCCTAGGCCAGTACCCCACTTTGTCACATGCTGAGTGTCTGCCTCAGGGATCCTGCAACAGCACAGTGCAGGCATATTAGGGGGTGCCCAATATTGTTCTATTGGTCCCAGCACTGCTCTGAGTGCACACTTTCATTACTCCACCCACCGCATTCTGAAGGGGCTTTGTCCCCATGTCACATACTTGGGTACAGGAAGGCTCTAGTATCCTCTTCAGCCCTAGGGACTCTCACTTGCTCTCCACATGCCTCAAAGCGTGTTAGGGGGAGGAGGGGAGCTGTAGCTGCTCCCAGCATTACACCGCCCTGGGGAGCACGTGGGTGAGTCCCAGTGCACACAGAGAGGCAACCTTCAAACCTCCTCCTGCCATTCATTGAACAAGCTGTGGTCAGGATTCTAACCAGGTTGCAAGGACTCTCCTGGGTGTGTGGAATGAATAAATTGAACTAAAGCAGGAATGTATGGACCCCTCCCCAAACCTGTTATTAGTGAGAAGAAAAAAAAAAAAAGGTATGTATAGACCCTGACTCAGAACCTTCTAATAGACTGCCCTCATTGTGTCCCAGGCTGCCTCCAGGCTTAGGAGATGAGCAGACACAGCTGTACACCAGTCCCCACTCAGCTATTTCCATCACCAAATGGGGATGATCATTCCTGAAACCACAAAGTTCAACTCCTAACGAGCACCTGTACCAAAGGTGAGGGAGTCATAGGCTCCTGGGCACACAGTGGCAGACCTCTCATTCTAGGCAAAGAGCTCCATGGAGTTATTTCCACCAAAATCAAATTAGCCAATGCTGATCATGTAATGTTTTGGCCCGCCCCCTCAGTAGCCCAACTTCAGCCAAGAGATGTCATCAAGTCTGCCTCAGTGTGCCTCGCTTATATCCATGCTGAACAAAACATCCCACAGAATCTCTTAAGTCCCTCCCTTGACCCCCACCTCAGTTGATTCCCAGCCCCTCAGGAGGGAACAAGGCAGAAATACCAGTATGGAGCTGGACTTGGGATTACTGCTTGGCTGTGAGACCCAGGGCAGGGTGTGCTCTGTTAGACAACCTCAATTTCTCTTTCTGTACAGTGGGATGATTAAACCCTTAATCATGTGGACAATACCAGGTCCCAGTGCAGAAGAAGGACCTGGATATTAAGTGCTGGGATGAATTTGTGTCTCCACGTGCTCCTTGAGCCCCCTCCACCTAATCCTCTCCCCTCACTCTCCTATTACAGCTGGCTATATCTGAGCCCAAACATTAGGATGCTTAGGGCCACACTTGGGGGGGCAGTAAGACCCCATCCTTCAACTTCAGAAACGCTCCCTACTCCTAAAGCTCTCAGATGGAGGACAGAGTCAAGACCCCTGACATATCAGGAAATAGTCTTTATTACAAAAAATCTGTATGTAAACAAACACCCAGGACACTGAATAGCTTCCCTCCAGAACACCCCCATCCCAAGTATAGAGAAAGGCAGAGTCCTCTCCCCATACCCAGGCTACTCCACCAGCTGGGCTTGGGCTGCCACTTGGGACACACGTGAGCCTGCACACGCATCTCTGTGGGCCCAGCCCTTACTGGCCACTGGGAGCCGCCTCCCTGGGTAGCCCTGTCTGTCCATGACCATGAAGTGGGGGATGCCTGGCTGGCAGCTCTGAGGGGCTCAGAGTCTGAGCTGGCCCCCAAGCATTTAGGACTGTTGGCTGGGCCCGCCCACCAACCCACCCATCTGTCTGCCCACCACAGTGGGAGCTCATGGGGCCTAGAGAACCGAAAGGTCGTGGCAGGACTTGGACTTGGCGCGAAAGGCCATCTTGCGGCTGTTGCGCGCTACAATGCGGCCCAGGAAGCGCTTCGCTTTTTTGCCAAGGCTCTCTCGTCGTCGGGTACCCGCTTGCCTTCTCGCATTGGCTTCTTTGCTGTCCCTTCGCAGGCGTATCTGGCGCACAACACCCTCAAACAGAGCCTGGACATTGTGGTGCAGTGCTGCTGATGTTTCAATGAACTTGCAGTCAAAGACTACGGCGCAGGCCCGGCCCTCTGGCAATAAACAAAGGATTCATAAGAGAGGAACCTTCTCAAAACCTGGCCACCCCATAATAGCTACCATTCAGGAATCTGCAGGGTCTTCCCCAGAAACACAGAGACCCCAGCTCCTATACTGTACTGAGGGTACCAGGCACTGCTGGGTCACCCAAAAAGCAGACTGTACCTCTCAAAAAGGTAAATCTCCCACAAAAGGAGATTCATTAATTGAAATGATCTTTTTTATTTATTTATTTATTTTTATTGAACGGTAACTATGTACATTAATGCACTTCTGGGGTACAGTGTGGGGCTTTCACATGCAATCTGAAATACTTCCATCAACTGGTCAACACAGCCTTCATGTCATTTTCTCAGTTATTGCTTTAAAACATTCACATTCTACTCTTAGAAAGATTCACCTGTACCCCAATTGAAATGATCTTAAGTCTGATATTTAAAGGAAGTACTGGAGAAATGAACAGGAAAATGAGAAGCAGGTTAGACAGCTTATATTTGATGTTACATCATGATGAATGACCTGATGGACTGGGGAAGGGGAAGCAAGGTCACCAAGTCACTCCTGGGTTCCTCTGAGGGGCTCAGTTCTAAAGGCCACAGAGGAAGGTGCTGAGTGGGAAGGATCCTATCAGGGCCAAGCCTATTCCAAGATGGGCCCAGGCCTGGAATCTAGGATCTGGTCTCTTGGCTTGGTTTCCTGCACTTTCTGCCACCCACTCACCCTCCATTGGGCAGGCCAGGACTCAAAGGGGCAGGAGAGGAGGGTACGGAGGCACCCCAGCTGCCCTAGTGGGTATGGTTCTCTCCCCTGCCCTCTCAGGCCTTTGGGAGCCCTGTGGGCGGGAGCAGCTCTCCCTCTTCCCTCCCCTCCAAGTTTTCTTCCTGAACATTTTTAGGCCTTGATGATTCCCCAGGGACTTGAGCTGGTGCAAGACTGCCTGGACCACAGCCCAGTCAGGATCTCCTCCCTTCCCAACTCACCATCCACGGAGACCTCACGTGAACGCACCAGGTCACTCTTGTTGCCCACAAGAATGATGGGCACGTCATCTGTCTGCCGTGCACGCCGCAGCTGGACCCGCAGCTCCGAGGCCTTCTCGAAGCTGCCCTTGTCCGTCACTGAGTACACAATGACGTATGCATCCCCCATGGCCATGCAGTGACCAGGCAGCCAGCAGCCTCCATCCTGGGAAACACAGACATTTGCCGAGCAATCATTGTCACTCCCAGCAGTCCCCTGCCTCTGCCCATCCCTACCTTGGACTTCAGCCTGCACCTACCTGCTCCCAAATGTCATAGACCATGAGAGATACCTCTTCTCCGTCCACCATGATGGATCGATCATACGTGTGCCCTAGGCAGGAGGCCAGTAGCCAGGTTACCAGCTGGCTGTCAAAAGTCCCCACCCCCAGGTTTCCTGTTCTGGCCACACCCTCCAACTCCCCAGAGCCCCCTAACCCTCCTCTCCTGCAGATGGCTGCTATATGGCAAATGAAGTACCAGGGCAGGGAAGTGGAAGATGGGGGCCATGGCTTGCCTGACCTCTACCTACATGCCCCGCTCCCCAGCTAACAACATCCTACTCTCTGCCTTTCTGCTGCCTGGGACCCAGGCTGGCCCTAACCACGTAATTATCAAAATAATGACTATCACACCTTCTGGAGGCCTTGCCCTCGTGGGGCTCTTCTAGAAACTCCCTCTGATTGTGTTCCTGCCAGCTCTGGCAGGGAGGGATGTCCTGTCCCCATCCCAGCGTAGTGGTATCTATGCCCTGGGCCTTTTACTCTTGGCATTTCTTCCCCTACCAAAGACTTCTCTCTTAGTTTCCCCTTCTATGAAATAGAGGCGTGATTCTGAAAGTGCCTTTAGAATCCCATGACATCTGCCGCTTTTCGTCCAGATCCCCACTCCCAGAGGCCCCGTCCAGACCCTGGAATCGCCCCACCCCTGAATAGCCCCATCCCGTCACCTGCAGCCTCTGCTTCAGGACCATCCTCTACACCAGCGAAGATGCGTGCCAGAGCGCTCTTGCCCACGCCAGGTGCCCCCAGCAGCAGCACCTTGTAAACACTCTCGTCTGAGTCGCTACCCCCTGAGCTGAGCGAGTCCGAGGAGACCTCCGGCCAGTCCGGCCTTGGACCCTCTGTCCGGGTCCCGGCCGCGGCTGCTGCCAGGGCTGCCGGAGCCAGTGCTGCCTGCAGGTCGCGCTCGTCCACCGGCATGCTCCGGCGGTGCAGCGGGAGCGCCGGGCCCCAGGGTGTGCTGCCCCGACGGCGCTCGCGCTCCCGGCCCCCGCCGCGGCTCCCGCCCGCTCCGCTGCAGCCACCGTTCAGAGTCATCGCGTCTGAAACCGTCTGGGGAACCAGGAACCGTATGGTAGTGTAAGCCGCAAGAGATGCGGGACCCTGGGCAACTTGCCGGTCCAGAGTCAGGCAAGATGCTCGCCGAGAATCTGCCGAGCCCGCTCCTAGCCCTGACCCATCTATCTGGCCCTTCTATCTGCAACCCAGACGGTGCGGCCACCCCCAACCCCGCTCCACTTGGACACTCACCCACTCGTACACAGACACGCTCAGGACTAGGATCTGGGCTCGGATACAACCCACTCGCAGACCCGGACTCTCGGATCCTCGGTGCTGAGGCAGCTGCTGCTTTCTTAGCCGGCGTTGGGTCGCGGCTGGAGAGCCGCCTATTTAAGGCTCTGCCCGCCCCCGCCCCCGCCCCCGCTATTGCGGGGGCTGACGTGTCCCTCCTCCTCCCCTGGGAATCCCCCGCCCTCCTCCTAGGCTCTCACACCCCCGCCCCGTAGCTGTCTGGGAGTAGAGGGGCTGAAATTGGGGGAATCTGCGACCACCAGTGATAAAAGAATTGAGGGGCCTGGGGGAAGATCTTGTGAACCGGGGAGTGTCGTGGTGGGGAGGAAGGCATGGGGTGAACTAGACCAGCCAAAGCCGCAGTTCCCCTCTAAAGAATTAGATCTGGCCCTTTAAGAGTGAATTCGCTCTCCCCTCTCTCCCAGTCCAGCGAGTGGACCGCTTTTGGGCTGGAGAGAGATTCAGCCTTCTCTGCCCAGACACCTCTCTCCACAGACTCAACTGAGTTAGAATTTAGAGGTCCTAAATCATACACTAAGTCCTTCCCTCTGCCATCCATGTTCTGGAGTTGAAGATTCTCCCTAATGAGCCTACCCTTCAGGGTGAAGATTGGTGTTACACCATGGGGGAGGGGTGTTGCAGGTGGAGGTACACGCTTGGACCTAGAGAGGAAACGCTGGCCCAGAGAAGAGAAAGGATGAACTCAGCCTCCACCCAACCTCCCAACACTCACCAAGCAGCTGCCAGCAACTCTGCTAAAAATATCTGCTCCTGGCCCTGGCCCTGGTCATTCTGCTCATGTCTGGAGGTTGCCCAGCGTTGGGGAAATCCAGGCCACCACGTGTCAGATGCCAGCAGGAACTAGTCACTTCAGTCTTCAAGGTCTGCCTCATTACCAGGAGCCCAAGCTCAGGCCTGCTGTTAGGGCGCATCCAGGGCCTCCAGGTTCAGACCGAGGAGGGGCATAAATGCAGAATGTGGTCAAGGAGTGGGGAGAGACTTATCTACCCCTGGTGCCACCACTGCCCAGAGCTCACCGCCTCAATCTTAGACCAAAAATGGGGGCCCAGAGCAAGAAGGAAAGGAATGTAATGAGGGAAGCTTTAGTCCTTGGTTTCTAGTCCTGGCTCTGCCTCCAGCCTACTGGGTCTGGCCTCTCTTCCAGCTGCAGGGTGCCCAGCTATAAATTGGTCATCATGACCTATTCCCCTCTTGCTCAGTTCTGGGTTGGGGAGGCTGGGGGTAGATAGACTGTGAAGTATTTTGTTAGAGCCTCCTAGGGGGCTCTGACGTTTGATTATGACAAGTATAGTGGAGGTGGGCAGGCACCCATTCTGGGCTCAGGTGACATCACAGATGAATGGACCCTGGTGGGCTGTCATAGGTTGTCATGGAGACCTGGGCCAGGCTCTCTGGCTGCTGCATCAGTTTCCTTGGCAACACCTAAGAAAGCCTTCCTGGCTCACTAAGGTTAGGGGGTTCATACAGAGTCCTTTTGTTCTTGAAGTCCCCAAAGTAGGCAAGAGGTGGGCTGAGGGGTGTTCTGCCCATTTATGTACTCCCCATGGTCCTGGGGGATCTTGGAGGCCTGGGCAGCTTCACACTGGCCCTGGCTTCCTGGATGAGGTCCAATGGGAAAACAGAGTTACGGGCAGAGCCTTCAGTTAGAGGACAGAAATCTAAAGAGCCAACACAGCACTTCCCATCAGGAATCCTGCTCTCTTCCCCCACTGTGCCACTGGAAAGGGGCCTGGGTGCCCGGCAGAGGGTGGGGATGGGGCGGGTAGCTGTGGTCCTTCCCAGCAGGTGGCTCTGCAAGGAAACAGGGCTGAGTTTCCCTTTTGGTAATCTGAGCTCTTGACCTCAGTAGTGTTTCTTCATTGCCAAGGGAACTGCATCCACAAAGGGCCATTTAGGTCCCAGGCATTCTGGTGGCTGCCCCAACAGGCCAGAGACACCACAAGTCTAGGTGTGGTCAGGGGCTCCAGGGACCCAACACCAGGACATGACCTTTTCTGTGGTCCTCCCAGCAATCTGGCCTGAGCTTGGCTGCCCAGATGAAACAAACAGGTTGGATCCACCCCAGGACAGCCTGGGCTTCAAATCCCAGCTCTGCCCCTTGCTAGCTATTTCCCTTTTGTCCACTTATATTAGCTAAGCTTGTTTCCTCCTGTGTAGAACAGGAATAATGTCTTCCAGGGGATTGTTAGGAGATAAATATCATGAAATGCAGAGGCAAAGAAATTGGCTCACATCCAGCACATAGTAATATCTCAGTAAATCTTTTATTATCATCTTTGGTGGGATGGAGCTGTTTGAGTGAATCAGAGGCCTCTCCTGCTTCTCAGATGGTGGTCTGCCCAGGAGTGGGGCAGATACCTCTCCCCTGTTCCCTATACCCATCTCCCTATGGGACCCTGCACCCTTCCTCCTTCCTCCTCCCTCCAGTAACAAAATGTTGCAAAGGGAACTTAGCTGAGCTTCAGTATCCCCACCCCACCTCACACCACAGCTCCCAAGTCCCAGGGCCTCTGCTCTCTTCTAAGGCTCCATTCATTCATTCCACTGACCTGTATTAAGTACCTACTGTGTGCCAGGCCCTTGTGCTGGGTGTGGGATGATGAGCAAAAATAGATATAGCTGACCATGTTCATGTGTCAATTACATTTAGTTGATTTTGTTCCCATTTTGTTGACATGGTAACCAAGGCCTGAGGGGTCACAGACCTGAAACAGCAGAGCCAGACATACCTGGTGGAGGATTTTAGGGACCTCAAACTTTGCCACCTCCCTGTAACTCTGTGTCCTCAGATAGCAGGTAGTGTTCCAGAAGGTTCCCTGGGTGCTGGCCCAGTATGCATAGATGGCATCCCTGCAGGCAGTCCGGATCCAGGCACTGATGAGTCAAGACTGACAACAGGTTTGATATGTCAGCTGTGGCATGAGCAGTTTGGTGTCCCTTACCCACTGTGAACTGGCTGCCAGGAGGGCCAGATGAATGACTCAGTAACACCTGCCTCCCTCCTGACCCCCTCCAGCATCCCCAGCTGAACACAGACACCAAGGCTACCCCAGACAGATGGGGACTGTCAGGGCAAAGGTCTATAAATGATGAAGCCTGCAGCTCAAGAAGGTTCCCTGGGGTCTAACTGGAGTACTCAGCTTCATCTGTGGAAATGGGGGATATGATGCTTGGATAATCCTCTGAGATAGAGCTAGAGCCACTTTAAATCTCCATAGAGCAGTCCCAAGTGATTGCCATGACTGTGCCCATGTCACAGATGAAGAAACTCTAAGCAACATGGGCTGATGGTTTCATCTCTCTGACTTTGGGAAGCCAGATCCGGAGTCTGTTCTTAGTCATTAGTAGCGAAGCCACTCCCCATTCCCTCCTAGAAGTGAGCTGGGATAGCAATGGGAGCTGGGGGTTGGGGTGGGCAAGAGTGCCTCCTGCCAGCTGGGAAGCACTTGCCAAGGTTTCTTCTTTACTCCCTAGCTAGAAGTCTTGAGAAGAAGGAATTTTTTCTTGGTATCTGTGGGGGATTCATTCCAGGATCCCCTACGGATCCCAAAATCTAGGAATACGCAAGCCCTAATATAGTGTAGCATTTGCATATAACCTACACACATCCTCCTACATACTTTAAAATCATCTCTAGACTACTTATAGTACCTAAAACAATGTAAATGCTATGTAAACTTTGCTGTTTACGGAATGACAAGAAAGCTTATATATGTTCAGTACAGAAACAACCATTGTGGCCTAATTACATTTTCTAACCACTGTTGGTTGTATCCAAAGATGTAGAACCCCTGAATATGGAGGGCTGACTATATTCTAGAAGCCCATTTCCTTATCAATAGCAACTGCTACACAGGGTTGGATGGACAGCTGAACAACTAGAGGACAAATATAAAAGCCTAGGCCTAATGCCCACTCTCAGGACAGGCTCAGTGTTGTCAGCAGGCCCTCAGTAACAGAAATGCCGAGTGCCCAGGCTCCCTAATGAAGACTTTTCAAGTCTCTGCTCACAATCACATCTGATCTTCAGCAGGGATGAGGTGGGGGGTTGAGTGAGGGACCTTATTATTTGTCCTCAGAAAATGAAGTATGAAGCAGGGAATCTTCCCCAGAGGGCTCCTAATTGGCTGAGCCAAGGTCTAAACCCCATGGTCCATCGAGGTGACCAAGTGTACTCTGGACACAGGACAAGGTGGAGAGAGAGGCCCCTAACCTGAGCCTGCTATTTCATGGTGCTGAGCTTCCCTGTTACCCCATACCTGGGTGACATACACCTCTGAGGGGGCTGATGGAGAGGCTGCCTCAGATTCCCTTCAACAGAGAAATCTGATGTCACTATCTTGATCAGGGGACTAGACTGAGCATCACTAACAGCTGAACGAGGTGGCATCATAGACCTACTAGTGGGTTTGTAGGATATATACGGTACTCCTGGGCAGGATTTTCATCAAAAATCTCAAACCCAAGCTCATTTAGGCCTACAGACCAACTTCTAGTTTACATGCAATGCAGCAGACAAAGAACAGATCAAACTATGGGGGTGGAACTTCGCCAGAACAACTCTCCTGAACTTAAAAAAAAAAAAAACTTGGTGTCAAGAAAGACAAAGATGGGGGAGAGACTATTTTTAAAAAGCTTAAAGAGAGATAACAATGAAATGCAATACATAAACCAAATTGGAACTTTAAAAAAAAAAAACCCAAAACTATGAATGACATTTTGGAGAAATTCATATACAAGGTTAGACAATTAAGTTTGTGAACTCATCCTAGAAAAAGTGCTCCATACATCATTGCGGAATATCACTATGGTCAGCAGATGGCCAAGGGAATACTCTGAAGGTGACCACAGTGATATTCAGCAATGAGGTATGGAGTACTTTTTCTAGGATGAGTTCGAGAACTTGTCAGACCTTGTATGACAACAGCTCTAACGGCCATTCCAGAAAGAGTTTCAAAATTGCCTTGAAGAGTGGGTTAGGCACTGGCATACAGAGTTTCC